ATGCGAATTGCTGCTGCTGCTGCTGCGATGTTGCTGCTGCTACGATGTTGCTACTTTTGCTACTGCTGATGTTGCTGCATCTGCATCTGCGGCGCTCGCAAAAGCAGGAAAGCAGCAGCAAGTGCCAGTCGCAGAGCTCTCTGCATTCTCTTCGAGATTAAGGGATGGGGTGCACTGAAAAAATAAGTTGGAGCTAATTAACAATCTTTGAATTAAATTTTAAAGCTAATTTTATTATAAATAGTAATTAAAAATGAGTAAAAAATTAAATTGCATAAAAATGCAATACGCATTTTCTCCCAGTGCATCGCCTCTCTTAACAGACTACAGTTTGGCAAACAGCAAAACTTTCAAGTCGTCGTTGCACTTCCCCTCAAACTAAAACTAAGACCAAAAACCGGAAAGAGAGAACCATCATTTGGCACTTGTCTCCTCGATTCTCCCTTTTCTCTATGGATTTCGCACACTTTTCTCCGCTGTTCGCCTGTTACAATTTGAAGCTATTTTTATTGAAAATGAGCGATATTCTCAGCTGGAGAAAGAGCGACAGAGAGATTTCGAGCAGTCGAGTTGATGAAACTGTGTTAAGTGCATACTTTGGGTTTTCACGATAAAGTAGCTGAAAACCTCTATCCCTCCTACTTCCCTCTCACTTCTGGAGGGTTTTCAGGATGGCTTCATTGTCACTGAGTTGCAAACGCAGAACTTTACTCGCCAAGAAAACTCCACAAATTTGAATGATTCCCCCCCATCAGATATACAGACCTAGGCACATAGTTGCCTTTGTACATACTATTATATTCCCAGAGTGCAGTCTTCAAGACCCCACATTTTCCCGGCTTTTCCCTCTCTTCCCTCTGTTTGTCGTGATTTTTCCATTTCTTTTTTTTTTCAAACAAAAACTGCGCTTATTACGCCAGCCCCGATGCATTAGAAGCTTCTCTTGCTAGAATTCTGAGGGGATACATTTGGGGGAAAGATGGGGGAGGGAGGGGCTGCATTTGAGGAGGGGCAGCCGTTGCTTTTTAAGCTGCTCACACACTCAACCCAGCAAAACTCGGTTCGCGCACACAGCTGCCAAGTGGCCGAGACTAAAAACCGAGCACCGAAACAGCAACAGAAAAACAGATATGGGGACAGAGACACACAGAGCCGACGTTCTGTCAGTGGATTTATATACAGTGGATACTGGGTAGAAAGGAAGATGAAATAATCTTAGAAAAGTGAAAAAAAAAAGTAGAAAAGATATCTGTGGATTTGCGAGAAAAGGTTTAAGACCAAAGAGTTATCGGAAAAGCGAAGAAATAAGATTTTCTTTTTTTGAAAACTAAGTTTCATCTAAGAAGTTTTCCCTGTTAGAGCATCTGATGTAGCTGCTGTTTCTGCGACTGCATCTCGCCTCATTTCGATTCATTTGCGCTTCCCTCTTAGCTGGCTGCCCTTCTCCTTCCGGCGTCCCCTGAATCTCAGCCTGATTCCTGGACTTCCTTTTGGCTAAGGTTGTGTGTGCCTGTGCGTGTGTGTTTGAGTTTGGGTTTCCCTGTGGCTTTTGTATTCTGCAGCTCAGCAGCACAGCAGCTCCTCAATTTCCAGTTTTTCGCACATCTCGTCCCGTGCTCTTCCATTTATTTGGCAAAAGCACTGGCAAGTGGAGAGAAAGAGCCCGCACAAACGCCCATTTACCCATGAGAACCATGAGAATCCAGAACCGAGAACCCAAGGCACTGAGAGACGAGAGAACCCGAGAGCTGCGTTTCCAGCAAAATGAAAACAAAAAGTGATATATACACGTATATATATATATATATAGACGAAATTCATAGCCCCCGATTTCTGTGAGTGGAGTGAGCTGCTAGGCATTGCTGAACGCCTGTTCTCAAACGACTCAAACTGAGAGAGAGATAAAAGCAAGCTGTGCAAGATGATGCTTCTGTGTTGATAAGGCCCCTGCCGATTGTCACAGTGTGCGTTTGTGGAAATTGAGCACAATTCCTATACGCACCAAGTATCTCATGGATAGCCCATGCCATAGCCATAGCAAGCCACCTACTTATGTACTTCGGGGATTCATCCGTAGGCTGAGATTGAGATTGAAGCTGTGGGGCATACTGCTAGCATACTGAGGAAACCAAAGTATATACTTCTTTGAGTGAATTATGAAGTTGTCTTTGGCCGTTACGTGGGTGGTGGTGGTCTCCCCCTCTTGGTTTCTCTGCCCTTCCCATTTCTCCACTCTCTTTAAGTCTCGATTTATTGTTGTACTTAAAACAGAGTCACTTCTCAGCTAGGCCCCCCTCTTAAAAACAGAAAACATAAAAAAAGAAAAAAAACAAACCGAAACAGACGACTTTGTATGACGAAGAAAGAGTTTTCATCATCGGGAAATGCCCCGAAACCGTTAGTTGGATCATAAAATAGAGATGAAAAACTTTGAAATGGTCTTTTTTTTTGTCGTAGCTGTAAATGCAACTGACACACAAAGGCAGTAAGACGCACCGCGATCACGAGCTTGAAAATGTTTGTGAATGTATCTGTGGAAATGGAAATGGAAATGGAAATGGAGCTGTTGATGCCGGCCACATGCAAATGCATTCTTTGGGGCCACTCTAATGATCACCACGATGACAATGATCATAATGATGAGTCTTTTGATGATCGAACCAAGCGAATGACTTGCTATCCCAACGTGTGCGGGAAAAGGTCTGGAAGAGTCCAATAAAATCTGAGCTTGACATCGTTTATCACTCACTTTTCTCGGTCTACGGGTCATATAAAATCACGTCTTTTATTGGCGGAGAAAATTGCTTTTGGGCCTTAAATTTTTTAAAGGTTTTAAACAAGGAAAAACTTCTTTATGTAAACAACTATAAACAAATTGAAAACCTCTTTTGTATTATACAAAAAGTATAAAAGTTTTATAGCCAAGGAAATATTTAATAATTTTTTGTTATTTAATAGATTTTTAACCCCTTCTTTCTGCCTGTGCCGCAAACAACTTAATGTGTTTATTTGTGCAACCAAAACGGAAAATGTGATCATGTCTTTAATAAATTTATACCCCACCAATTTGGCTCTGGAAACTGGCAACAACTACAAATGGGGAAACATTTTGCTATCCAGTTATGACCTCCCCAAAATGTCTCATCTGCATGTCCGACAATTTGCAGTTTGCTCCTTTGACATCCCAACTATGGACATCCAAACTCGTCCGTTTTGCAGATGAAACCGAGATGAGGCCGAACGATAGATGGGATGGATCTATCTTGAGGGGTTCATAGCCGCCTGGACTTTCACTTTGCTGGCTCACAAATTATAGCTAATTATGCAGCATCTTAGCCGAGATTGGGCAACTCCTGGCCTGCAAGTCTGCAATTTGGCCATGTGGTTTGAGGGGCTAATACTGAGGCTACACAAATACTGATGCTGGGGCAAATCTGGGGCCGATCTGGTCATGTGGGTTTTTTGCCATGAGCCAGAAAGGCTTTGCAAACAAAGCTTAGGCCGTAATAACTTTGTTTCGAGCCGCAGCGCTGCAGTTTGAGGCCATTATAACAAACATTTTTGTTTTGCAAAATATTCGGACTTTCATTTTCAGTCAGAGCTTTCAGCTCGTTGAAAGTTGATTCGCACAGATACTGCAGTATCTCTCTTGGATTGATCGCATTTAGCTATTACCTTGCTCAAGGTCAAACCAACTCATGGCTAAGATTTTAAGAATGCGTTGACAATATTTTTGTTTTTTTCTGTTCAACTTAATTAAAAGGCAAACACAGCCAGAACAAAGCGAAAAAGTTCTAGGCACTGGAACAAAAAGAAATACTACAAAAAAAAAAAAAACAAGAAAAACCAAAACTGATAAAAAGGTTTTATCAGCCAGCCAGCACGGAGACATTAACCACGATAATTATACAAAACATGTGAGCCGTTGAATGTGGACCTGCAGACAATTGGAAACAGGCCATACTATGCCAAGCAAAAGCAAAAGCAAAGTCGACCGCACAGATACAGATACAAAAAACTATAGTATCTAGTGCAGTGTTGATAAGCGAAAAGGGCCCACGTGTGGAATGTGGAGCGCAGACTATCTGTATAGATAGATATGTATCTTCTCTAGAACGGCTGTTCAGTTCAAGGAAATATATTCTTCAGATATGAAGATACTATGACTATGACTATATATGCCCCATCCCCATCGAGAGCCAGACCAATTTGCAAACATTCTTCGCGCGAACATGAAACTTTTTATCTCTTTGAAGAAGGCGATAAAAATCCAATTTGATAAGCCCCTAAATTATGCATAAAACGAACGATCTGTATCCCAAAAGGTTTATCTTTCGGTTCTTACTTGTGCCAGCTTATCAGGTCGTCTTTATCTCAGTCATTTCACAACGTTATATAAATAAATATATATTCTTCGCCATAATTTGCCTAATTATAAAAGGTTTTATGGCTTTTTGAAGTGTTTATTCTCGATTTATGGCTTTGTTATAAAAAGAAGGGTTTGTCTACCTTTAGTTGTCCCTTTCAAGGTGGGGCATTACTAATTTATAAGATTATATATTATATATTTATATGATTCTATGCCATAAATGCTATCTTTCCTGACTTACTACAAATATTAAAGGTTATACAAACTCCAAAGTTAGTTGGAAAAGGAGTGAGTTTCCGTCCTTTGGCATCACCATCACCCCAACAGGTTTCGATCGTTCCATCGGCCCTTAACATCCTCCCCCTTCCAATTCTGCTCCCGTTTCTGCCGCTTCTGTCACCAGACGGTGGCGTTGCCAATGCACTTGGCCCCAACTCCTCCTTCTCCTGCTCTTCCTGCACCTTCCTGAGGCAAGGAGCGGTCATCATCGTCATCGTCATCGGCTAAACCATCGATGTGTGTGGCCCTGTGGACAGAGTCTTAAAACTGGGATGGGAAATCTGAAGGGTTGGACATGAGGGGGGGGAGGAGGACTTGAACCGGGGGACTCTGGCTCAGTTGTCGGCGCCGCTGGAATGTTGTTAGTTATAAAATGGCCACAAAATCATAACGCGGGCGTGGGCTGCCACTGGACTCTGTCTCACTGTTCTTTCTTCTTTCTACACTGCGAGAAATAGGTTCTAAAAGCAGATTTAACCATGAATGATTCCCAACTTAAATGTATTTTATAAAGAAGGAGTATAAAATCGAATTGGTTCTTAAAATAATTGAATAATTTTTAAACTTATTGACTCAGAAATATTGTTCTCCCTGTGGAGCCCGATACTCCGAACCTGATGACGAGTTGTTGCCGCCGTCGAGGTTTTGTGTCCGACTCTCTCCCACAGCATCCACGCATATTTGGATGGTCCGTCTGGTGGTTAATGGAACCCAGTTAGCCGGGTGTGAGTGTGAATTGAAATGTATTTTTTTCTACATACCCGTACATGTGTTCTATGCCAGTCGATTGGATCTCGAAAATCAAATCAAAACTCGTCGTCGTTTTATGGCTTTTTAGAAACCAAACTCTAGGCTGGAACTCGTTTTGTTCGATTTTTGGTTCTGTTTTGTTTTCCCTCGGTCTCTGTTTGTTGTTCTCGTTATTATTATTATTTTTTCCTATACCCATTTCTATGTGTCGGCGACGGCGGTGGCGGCAGCGGTGGCGGCGTTGGTGGCTCTCGCTTTGAATAATGATGATAAGACCCCGCGCGCGGTATGGTCGCTTTTCGATTCCGATTCTAAACCAATCCGTCCATCCATCCATCTATCCATCCATCTGACTGCTCTCTCTTTCCCTCTCTCTCTATCTGTCTCTGTCTTTTGGCGGCTTGATTATTGATTTATTGTCTGGTTTTTGGGTCTGTGTCGCACAGGTAAACGAGAAATCGTCACGGATACGCAAAACGGTCAGCAGCCAGCCCAACAACGAAATGTATCTCGGGGGTTCGGCTTTTGTATCTCTCCAGCAACTATGCAGATACATTTTCTGAAGCGCACGCTTCAGCATTTCTGATGTTGTTGTCATCAATTTAACAACAACGACATCGTCGGTTGGACAAAAGAAGCCCAAAAGAACTCATCTGAACCCACCAAAGAGACGAGAAAAAGAAAACATTCTTCTCGTCTTGATCCCGAAACGTTCTCATAATTTGTTTGCTGTTCCTCGGTTGGTTCCCCCCCCCATTACCACCACCCTTTATGCCATATACCATTGTGCGACCGCTGACTGTGAGAAAGATTTTATTTCGTTCAAGTGGTTTTTGATTTAACACCAAACAGCCAGCCAAAGAGTGGAAAATATTTTAATGATGCGTCGTCGTCAACGTCGCTGCAACTGAAAAACAAAAACCAAAGACGAGGAAAACAAAAAAGATTTCTAACTTGTTTTTCGGTGGCCTTTCTTTTTTCCGCTTCTTCAGCGCCGTTGTTCTCAATTTGTATGTGGTTTGATATTCGGAAGACATTCTTCGTTCGTTCGATTGATTAGGTCACTGGGAAAGCTAGCTGCTAGCCGATCACTTTCGAATCGAGGTCGTATTATATATGCTCTTTGTCACCCTCCCTTCGAGAAGCTTGAGTTCTGTATTTCCGCACCGGAAGGGTTAAGCCGAAGAGCACTCGACAAGCTGGCAATGAGGTCCTACTTTTAGAACCAGGATCCTGGTTCCTGTCCGTTGCGGTTTAACATCTGTCACGGCTGCTTCCTTCCCGGGACCAGGAATGAAAAATAAAAAAAATATAAAAAACAACAACTGAAACCGCATCACAGGCCTCGGACTTAACCAGGCAAAATATTGGGCAGCTTTTATGAGGTATTTTAACAATAATTGACATACATTTATGACCACAGAGAAGGGTAGAAGAGGGCTCATTGGTTCACTGATCAAGTTGGTCAATTGGAAGAGGAAGTCGTTAAGCAGATATTTATTATCCGATTGGGATGACCAAACAAAGCTATAAATAATCTTAGGTGTTAATCTAAGCAAAGTGTGTGAAATTAGCAAGTTAATTTACACGTTTTATGTAAAAACAAGACAAGATTGGGACGAGCTTAGTTAGCGGTTTATTCGGTGACTAGTTCTGGGCATTTTTATATTAAGATTAAGATCTTCAAAGTCTAAAATAAACTTAAAGTTAGAAATAAGACTTATCATAAGATCAAATCGTGATAAAATCCATTAACCTTTCCAATAAATTACACAAATTAGGGTAATCCCATTTCGCCTTATTGCTGTCTTAATTTTATGCCGTCTTATTTTAGCAATAAGAGTTGGAATATATTTCGCAACTTGAGTGTGTAAAAACCACTCCATGAGGTCCCCCTCTTCTCGCTTTTGATATAAAGCCGACTGCTTAATTCAACCCTACCTTTCCCCTCCCCCCTCGCACGACTCTATCAACTAATGTGACACTAATCATGTGACCTCGAGTGCCGCTGGCCACATTTTTATGACCGCTTTGCACGCTGTTTACACACGGCAATCGGTCGATCGACCAAAGTTTTCCAGCATTCTCGGGAAAAGAACAGAACAGAATGGGAGAGAGGAAGGAAAGAAAAGAAAATGCGATCCATTCATGAAAGAAATGCCATTCTAATGCTTTCTTCTCTCGCTGTGCCTCTATTGTGGCACCTTTTCATTTGGGTTCTCCAGAGGGGGGAGAAGAAATCAACAAACCAAGAATGGGAAAATGTGTTAAGGGGCAGAAAATAGGACCGAGGAGGTTTCTTTATTGCGTAGGCTGGCGGAAGGAGGGAAAACTAGATGGGAGTTCGGAGTTGCAGTGAGAGAATGTTGGTTGAAGAAAGAAAGTTAAAATGACTATTCAAATGTTTAGAGATTTTTAGGGATCACAAAGCATAGTAAAATATTCGTTAAAGATTAAAAACATTTTTGAAATGAGAAAGAAAAATAATCTACTTAATACAAACTTTGTTTTTAAGAAACATTATAGCTTAATTTCTCTCTGTGTAATATTTTATTTTCACCTTTCTTGTCTTACTTGCCTACTCGAAAACCTATAACGCGTGTCAGAGCAAGCAATTAATACAGCAAGTGGGACAGAGATAAGTCGAAACAGAGAGACAGAGACAGGATGAGAGGTGCGCATGCGCGACCTTTTGTGTCCTGTTCCAGGGGTTGGATGATAACAGAACAACGAGATCTCCTTAAACTGGTGACGCTGATGAGCCGCAAACTGCAAACTGCGCAGGAAGCAACTCTCGCTCTCCGCTCTCTCTTTTGCCCCTCACGATTGACAGGCGGCATTTAGGGGATAACATCGGGGCAGATATATATATATATATACAAGTAGGATCCCAACCCCTGAAGAATCGAGGATCAAGAATGGAGAGTGTGTAGGCAGGAGCAGCGCAGCAGGACGCGCTCCACAAAAATTTCATTAAACATCTGCCCAGCTCATCATCATCCTTCGTACCTTCTTTACCTTTGTTGTTGTGTGTTTTTTTTTTGTCCTGTCGAGGACATGTGCGTTTTTAGTTATTGAAATTTTTACTTGTTTTGTCCTGTGTTGGTCTCTCTATGCATTGTGCATTGAGTATTTAATTGCAGATAATATCGACAAAACAAAAACAGCAGGCGGACGACGGAGGACCGAATCAACAGCTGAAGTGCCCGGAAATGCATCTGTGCAGAAAAGGGGGACCCCCTTCGCTGCTCCTTTCTTCACTTTGATCTCCAGGATTCCCTTTCCCCCTCTATCTCCTCTTGACATTCGTTTTTGGTTTGCCAGGGAGGCTCGAGCACGTGTCAATAATTGTTCAGATGCCGAGTGGAGCTCGCAGGTCCTCGAAGAATCAGCTGTCGTTGGTTGGGGAAAAAGGTGCAGGATGAACCAGTTGAAACCTTACAACGGGCCCAATTTTATGTCAAGGAGATGATAAAGTTATAAGCTACATAAAGAAAGCATTGTTGGGTGATGGGGGGAAGCATGAGCTGGAATTTATCTGGGAAATTCTTCTTTGTAAACATATTTCGGTTTAGATTTTTATTAAATATGAGTCTAACCATATCAGTTTACCCTTAAATCATTTTAAATCCAACAAAACTCTTATATAAAGATCATAAAATAATACAAAAATGTGAATAATAATATAAAAAAATAAACTTTATACCCAACAAACCCTGAGTGACCTACTCAAACTTCCTGAAATTGATTGATTTACCAACTAAACTAAATGCACTTCAGCTTAACCTACCAGATATCTGACATTGATTTAAACATTGACAAGACTATTTGGACCAACTAAGGAGTAAATCAACTCAGCATCGAACTCAATGGTAAAACTAATTAATGTTTAGTAATAGGGCCATAAATTTAGCAAACTTTACAACCGAACTTTTTAGTAGCCGTTCCTCAGATTTCATTGGCATTCCGTTATCCTGAGGAGCACTTCTTCGAATTTAGCCTACTGTAAATCAATTCCGGATCTTAATTACCAGCATGTCTGCTCATCTAATTGAATTGAAAATCGCCAGCCAACGAACGGATTGATATATTTACCAAGCTCAAGTCTCGGCACTTGGAAGATTTGCTTTTGGCCAAAGATCTCTGCCAGCCAGCGATGAATGCAAATTAGTTGCGCACTTGGTCAACAGTTAACTCATCATCGCCAAACAACTTCCAAGCTGCTGCTTCTTCTTCTTCTGTGAAAAGCTAACGGCAAAGCTAAAGCCAAAGCCATAGCCGAAGAAGAAGAAGAAGAAGCGAAGTCCGCAAAAGAAGCTAATGTAATTGTGTTTGTAAATGCCATAAAGTTGGCAACACTTGCTGTGCTGTGAATATGTTTGCCCACCTAAGACCCCCTATCTCTATTCCTCTTAAACCAACCGATTTTACCCCTCTTTTTGCCGCCCACTTTTGCCCCCCTTGTGCTCCCGTCGCCCCTCTTCACCTCACCGCCCCGCTTAACGCTTGCAAATGAAGTTCACGAGATGGTCAAGACGATAATGTTGGCGAGCGCATTTGCCAAGTCATGACTGTTGCTGCTGCCGCCGCCACCGCTGCTGCTCTGATGTTGCTGCTGTTGCTCTGATGTTGCTGGTGCCCTGACACCGCAGCAACATCAACATCAGCAACAGCAACGCCGGCGAACGAGTTTCTGTTGCTTTTCTGTTTATTGTTGCTCTTGTTGTTGTCCATTTTGTCGCCATCGCTGTGCCCTCAAAAAAAAGAAATAGTTGGAAATCAAATCAACAACAAAAGTAAAGCAACACCAAAAGCAACTGCCCAGCGGAAAATCGGGGGAAAACCGAAAATTATTATACACTTAAAGGGAAATATTTATTAATTAAATATGATAAAAAAAAAATGTTATGTAGTCTTAAGAACGTAAAATAATAAATAATATTTTTAGAAATGAAATTTAACTTTAGCTTAAAAAGATGAAATATTTGGAAATCATTTAAAATGTTAAGAAAATAGGATTAAAGTTCCTTAAAAATAAGAGATAATATTTAATATTCCTTAATTTTGTTGTGATTTTTTATTAATTATTTTTAAACCCTTTAGCATAAAGTACCCTTCCCCCCAAAGCAACACAACAGCGACAAATCTATGTAAAACTCAATTGAAGTGCTCCCATCGTCGCTCCACATTTTTACTCTGCTTTTGCCTTTTGTTTGATTTAGTTTATGCCCGGGCTGGGCCACACCCCCTGCCCGCCGCCTGCCCGCCCTCTTTAACCCCCTGGCAGGCCCCTCTTAACCCGCAAGTATGTGTGCATGGCAAACTTGGCGTTCCAAAGCTGAACTGCACTTCCAATGCCCATTCACCAACACACAGACTGAGACTCCCCCCTCACACACACACACAGATACTCACTCACACACACACACAAATGAATCTCCGCCTCGTCGTCGTCGTCATACAAAAATATTTAGTAGAGTATGAAGTAGTTCGGGTTGGGTACATGAAATGAGTTGACCTCGCTTGACCTCGTTTCAGTTTCTTTTTGCCCGTGCCCGTGCCTGTGCTTTTTGTATATTTTTTTTTTACCTCTCTACTCTTCTTTTTTATTTTGCCCGCTTGTAACATTTATTTTATTTTATTTGTGCAAAAGGTTTTTTAATGAAATTTCATTTTACCCTCCCCTTGGTCTTCATTTTCTCTACAATTTCAATTAGAAATCTTCATAATCGCTATCTTTTCGTCTGTGTGCTTTCCTTTTTGTTTAAATGTATACATTGGTCTTAGTCTTTTTGGCCAGTGCAGACCATTCTTAGTTTGTTTACCTCGTCTTGCCGATGTTGCTGCCGTGCTGCCGATGTTGCTGCTGTGCTGTTACTGTTGCTGCTGCTGCTGCTGCTGATGTTGATGTGTATGTTGCTGCTGTTGATTACTTTCACCGGACAGCAGCAACAGCAACTAAGACAGTTATGACAACAACAATAGCAACTACAATGGCTGCAACAACAACAAAAACAACAACCATAACAAGAAGCCCACCAAATAAAAACGTAGCAAACTTTTATTATTGTTTTGTGCCGGTGGCATATGAAATATGTTTGAACATAATGAGGCCAACTGAACTGATGTGGCTTTGATACTCTATAGTTGCAAATTATTTAGATTTTTCAGGTAGATTCAAGCGAAAAGTGTTTGGGATTTAACACTTTAATTAGGCATATAAAGTTATACTCAAAAAAAATTAACAAAAACTGATATATTAAATGTTAAAAAATGTTTACCTAAATCGCTATCAAAAATACTGGAACTTACTTACTTAGAAATATCCATATCATATATAGGAACAATCCTGACTTTTAGCTAAATAAATATCTTAAACCTTCAACTTTAGCAAACTTTTTGTCCAATTTGGTAAATTCTTAAAAATGATAACCAAAAAATCCAGTGTATTGCAAGCCTCGTTTACCATAATCATTGCCACATTTATTGGCGTTGCAATGCTGGCAGGTTGCTGCTGGCATTGTCCGTTGCACCGTTGCACCAGCAATCGAGTTGCAGAGTGGCAACAGCCTCTCTGGCGGCCCGTATCTGAATCAAAATGAAAATTTGAAATAATTAGCAAATCATTTACAGCTTGTTGGTGTTGTTGTTGTTGTTCTCTCGGGGGCCACTGGTTGGGGGGACAAAATTGTTCAACTGAAACTAAAGCATTTATAGCGACGATGCTAAATCCCCAGGCGATTTACAACCAATAATCCGCAACGATAAATCTATATAGATATAAATATATTGCAACATCAAGGATAGATTCCATTTTGCAGCTATGGTTATATATTGTGATTCCCCCGGAACCTTTCTCCTAATTTCGAGACTTTTCGCTTTACTTTCTATTTCCTTGGCACGCATTTTCGGTTTGGCTTCTGGCCTAGCTTTACCGTTAGGTAAATGGGATTTCA